CCACTGGGAGAGCTTTAATTGATTGTGAAACTGGAGAGCTCAAGATGAAATTAAACGATGAAGAGATAACATTCAATGTGCAGAAATCTATGTGGAGACCAAGTGAATTTTCTAATTGCTCTCTGATAGATGCAGTGGATGTAGTTTTGGAGGAGGACGGTGAGGCACTGAACATTAAAGACCATATAGAAGCTTGTCTCATGAACTTAGATGAAGCTAATGGAGAAGAGTTGGTTGAGTGGGTACTTGCTCTTGAAGGCCAAGGTTTTTGGAAAAGGGAGCTCGAATTTGAGCCTTTGCACTTAGAGGAAAGAGAAACTCCTCCAGCTAAGCCATCAATAGAAGAGCCACCAAAGTTGGAACTCAAACCACTGCCATCTCATCTTAGGTATGCATTCTTAGGACCTAACTCATCTCTACCTATTATTATCTCATCCAGTTTGTTAGATGTGCAGGCAGAACAGCTTTTGCAGGTACTAACTGAGTGCAAGACTGCAATTGGGTGGGCCATTGCAGACATTAAGGGGATCAACCCGACCTTCTGTATGCATAAGATTCTACTGGAAGATGGGCACAAACCTTCCAGAGAACATCAAAGAAGGTTGAACCCCAACATGAAAGAAGTGGTGAAGAAAGAAGTCATCAAGTGGTTCGATGCGGAAATCATATTTCCCATCTCTGATAGCAACTGGGTTAGCCCAGTTCAATGTGTACCAAAAAAGGGAGGCATGACAGCAGTGAAAAATGAGAAGAACGAATTGATCTCTGCATGAACAGTCACAGGTTGGCGAATCTGTATGGATTACAGGAAGTTAAACTTGGCTACCAGGAAGGAACACTTCCCACCGCCATTCATTGATCAGATTCTAGATAAATTGGTAGGGAGGTCTCACTTTTGCTTTCTAGATGGGTACTCGAGGTACAATCAGATTTCTATTGCCCCGGAGGATAGAGAGAACACCATTCACCTGCCCTTATGGAATCTATGCTTTTCGGCGAATGCTGTTTGGCCTATGCAACGTACCCACCACATTCTAAAGGTGCATGATGGCCATCTTTACAGATATGGTAGAGGAGATAATGGAGGTTTTCATGGATGACTTCTTGGTGGTGGGGAACTCATTCGATGATTGCCATGTGAACTTGAGAAGAGTTTTGAAAAGGTGTATCGAGACTAATCTGGTACTCAACTGGGAAAAGTGTCATTTCATGGTACAGGAAGGTATAGTCTTGGGGCACTTAGTGTCAAGTAAAGGTATTGAGGTGGATCGAGCAAAGGTTGACGTGATAGAAAAGCTTTCACCACCCACCTCTGTCAAAGCAATCAGAAGTTTTCTTGGGCACGCCGGTTTCTGTAGGAGATTAATAAAAGATTTTTCCAAAATTGCTAAACCCTTGTGGAAATTGCTTGAAAAAGATCACCCTTTTGTGTTTTCTGATGACTGTAGGGTAGCTTTTGAGGAATTAAAGAAGAGACTGGTAACAACACATATCATAGTTGCCCCCAACTGGGAGCAACTGTTTGAGCTGATGTGTGATGCTAGTGACTATGCTGTGGGAGCAGTTCTTGGGCAGCGAAAAGATAAAATCATGCATCCAATATACTACGCAAGTAGAACGTTGAGTGGAGCCCAGCTAAATTACACTGTGACCGAGAAGGAGATGCTGGCAGTGGTGTTCAGCGACTATTTACGCCCCAACTTAGCTATACATTATTGCTATATGAAGGTTAAATGACAACAAATGGCTCTAATTATGAAGTTTGTGCTTTGCAGGAGCAAGTCCTAACTATGAGGACATTAAACAATGTTTGGAGTTAATTTGGAGCAAGGAAGGCCAATCGGAGGTGAGTGCGCGCGAAAGAAGAAGGAAAAAATGGAAGACAACTGAGCTCTAGGAGCGCGGGCCAACCGCGGCCGCGCTCAGGCCGCGCACGAGAGGCAGAAAAGAATGCATTATGCATGGTCCAACCACGGTTCAACTGCGGCCGCGCTCGTCACTCCGAGGAACTTTATTTTAGGGGTAAATTCGTAAGTTCGGGGGCAACTCTACTTAACCTATAAGAAGCCCAGCTCGCCCAAAAAGAAGGTATCAAGGTTTTTGAAGGATTGTTGAAGGCAAGAACAGGCAAGAGGCAAGGCGGAAGATTCAGCATAGAGTTTTACCTTTCTTCCTCTTGTTTTTATCACTGATGATGAATTCTACTATTATGATTGTGAAAACGATTATGCGTAGCAAAACTCTTAATCTAGGATTTTGATGGAACCTCTTGGAGGATGAATTTCTTGATATGTTAATATAGATTTGCCATAGTAATTTTCTCTGTTTGTTCAACTATACTGTGATTGTTGTTGATTGAAGGGCCCTCAATCGGCTGTTGCCTATTTAGTATGCATTACTCGGGAGAGACTGCATATTTAGGTAGTTGTTGAACAACACCGCTCCTAACGTATATGAGGGATCAATACGAAGGGTTTAAAGGTGGGATTAGGGATAACGAAACCTTGGGTGCGATCAAAGTGAGCTGTAACTAAGGCCAGCTAGCGTAATTAGGGAGAATATGTCTAGTATATTGTGGTAATTACTCGGGAGAGAGTTACAACAGTCAGAGTGCTCATGATCGATAGAGAAGACTTAGGCAAATTTGTAGCAAACATAGCGGCAAGGATTCCGATAAGAGGGGAAATCAGAACCTTAGACCATTCTCATTCTTGCTTACAAACCGTTTATAGTTAGTCCTTAATTACTGCATTTTTATTACATAATATTTAGTTAATAAACACCCAATTTGTTACTCAAATATCTCTGATGATTGAATACGTGAATTTCTGTGAGTCCAATAGCTGTGATTGAATGGTTAATTCCCTATGGGATTCGATACCGGACTTGTTAACCGGAATATATTTGCAGCGACCGTTTTTCCCTTTTTATAAGGCATAGTTAGGCGTGATCAATTGTCGTAGAGATTAACTTATGCTCAATTAAATCCTCCGTCAGTGTTCGTCGCTTTATTATTGGCTCCCAAAGAAGGTACTTTTTCTGTAAAACTTATTATGCACATGTATGTGCTCATTAGACTATTTTCTCTATCAATTTCACGACAATCGATTGTACACAAAAGAAGCCAATAAGAATACGGAGAGCCCCTGGGAACATAAAACTCCTCAAAAGGTCAGCAGTACTTCACCTATGTTTTGTAAAGAAATTACTGGGTGCTTTCAACTTATTGAGTTAGTGGAATTCTGTGTTAGAGTTGGAATAGAAAAAAACTTGATTCTTTTTTCCATTGTTTTAGGTTCTCAAAGTAAGAGTTATGGACATATGGATATAATGGTTAAATTCTTGGTTATTTGTGAAGAAAAGAGTTCCTTAGCTTTTATTTTTCTTAGCTTAATCGAGTAATAACATGTGGTTTGGTTTGAGTACTAAAACAAGGCCTTCATATATTTCAGCTCGACAAGTGAACAAGCATATTCTTTACGAATTCCAGCATCTTTGAATCATATATCTATTTCTACCAACAATTTAGATAGTTGATGTTATGTTCTAGCCTTTTTGGTAGGTTCAGGTCTTCAATTCTTGAAGTGAAATCATCGATTATACTACATTTTAAAGGTAGTATACTACATGTTAGGACCGGGAAAAAATCAGGTGTCATACGGAATCTAGCAAAGCAAACCTTGATTTTTTTCCGGTCCTAACAAGTGGTATCAGAGCGGGATTCAAGACAGGTTCATCTTGGCAGGTTCAGTTCTAGCCTCAACATATTTGACGATAATCGTGATTTTTTCTGAGAAATTTGACCGGTGTGCTACGCACGTTGAGACAAACTTTGTGGTGGAGATTTGGAGATGCGACCTGTTGAAGGCTATGTGAAGAAGGTGGATCAAGTTTATTTTGTCAGAAAATTCCGGCCAAGGGGGAGAATTGTTAGGTGTTTGCCATAATTTTCTTACCATATTTGGTTTTCCTATCTCTTGAAGGAAAAGGGCAATATAATTACCTTAATTGGGTTTTCCTTTTTGTAAAAGGAAATTACAAATCTCCCATATTTGGCTAGTACCTTTTCCTGTAGGAAAAGGTTTGGAGTTCTATAAATTGAGGATCCGCCCTTCTCATTCAGCAGCATCCACAATGTAGCCATAGGGGGCTTGGGAGTGGAGAACTTTACGGGACAAGTGTTAGTGTGTCACTTGTGTTTGCCTCTTCGTGAGGTTGTTCTCTCGATATTTTGTACTCTCTTTTTATTATAGTGGATTGCTCATCTCCGCCGTGGACGTAGGTCAGTTGACCGAACCACGTTATATGTTTGTGTTTCTTTTGGTATATTTCTCTTTTGTTGTTCGATTTATCGTCGCTCAAGATTTGCTTTGCTAGATTCCGCATGACACCTGATTTTTTTCCGGTCCTAACACTACACTCTTTTCCTCTCTTTTTTGTGTTTATTTTTTTTATTTTGTTTCTCTGTGCCGAAATGGCTTCTCATATTGTCATTAATTTTGACGGTGTGGTTATGTGAGGTCTTTGCAAGATTATATTATTGAATTGTGGTCCTATTGAAATAGATACTCTTTGAAATAAGCCGGGATGGACCTTTTTGAAATAATAATTGGTACTTAAATTGTATAGGAAGCTAATTTATTTTGTTATTGTGTTTCTATAATACCAGTACTGATTTTCATAGTGTGTTTATGTGAAGTCTTCGCCAAAATTCTGTCGTTAGATCGTGATTATCCTATTGAAATTTAGGTACATATATCATTAGATTTACTCTGCATTCCCATTCTGCTCATGCACCTAATGACATTGACGGTTCTGTAACTAGAGACTCATTTTTGGTAGTTTGCTTTGGCCTCTATTTATCTTTTTAACTACTAGGACTCTGTAATTGCAGTTTTTCACAATATTGCGAATTTTTTTTGCCCCTAGATCTTTCTTTATAGGGTGTTTTTATAATGTCTTAAGCAACTCATATGCCCCTCCTTTTTAGAAGCAAAAGTAAATGGAGAAGTCACTTGATCGTTAGTCTTGGTATTCATCTACTACCAACAGGATTCTGACAGACGTTCTAATTTTTTCATGTTTATGTGCATCTTTTGCCTGTTTGTGAACAAAATTATGAACTATTTGACCATGCTATTTTTTTCTTAAGAAATACTAGCACTTTAAACCGAAGAGTATTGAATAGATCATTCCAAGACAAAGAGGACTAAAAGAAATTTAGATGTTCCTTTTCTATTCAGTGTTCACATTCTTTAATTGTTGCCCCGTATCTTCCAACTCTTTTCATCCTAAAGCATTTGCAATAGCAGGTTATTTCAGAGTTCAAAAGGAAATGATTTGAGATGGTTAAGGATGGATTTGCATCAATCTCTCATGTACAATTATCATAAAAGTCTTGTAACCTTGAAAGTTGTTAGGTACTAAATTCGGATACCGGGTTGTTCTATATGGGTTGATCCAATCCATTTGGGGAGAGATACAATTTTGAAATAAAATAACTTCTTTGAAGAAGTTACTATACGATTTAGGTTTAGTTGAGAGCAGTTTTGCTATAGCAGTTAATTTCTTTATCTTTATAAACTGATTTTGGTCTTCTTCTTCGGATGGGTAAGAAGGAACAACAAAAAAGAAATTACTCTCCCTTTCTCATTAATCTTCTTATTCCTTAACAGAGAAGATTTCTCTTCTTCTTTTTGCAAAACACACATAAAGAAAGGTATTTAGTTGGTGGAACTAAATTTTGTATTCCAAGAGAATCAAAGTTGGACTTAGGGGTAATTTTTTGGATTGTGATTCTACTCTCCTACGTAGCAGGTACATGATTCTAATTCCTGTTCTTATTTTATTTTTATCAACAAAAGTTACCCAATTCTTTTAAACCGTAGCTACAATCAATCCGACTATCCAATCTAAGAGGTGCTATCAGTAGCTGGCTGGGAAGGAAGATGGGAAAAAAGTATACGACCATGTGAAACGTTGTACCTGTCTGCATACTTTGGAGATTGCATAATTTGGAGTTTTTCAATCGTCAGTGCTTCCCTTTTTATATTGTAATAAAGTCTGGTTTTACTCTTTATTTTCGATGTGGTATGCGCATCACTCTTTTTTCCCTCAAGGCTTCTAAGTATATTTCTCTCATATTCTTCTTTTGTTCTTCTCCTTCTTCACCAGTCCTACAATTACTATATGGTGGAAAATTTACATGTTTCAAAATATAAACAACTTATGCGGTTCTGCATGATTTGTAATGTAATATTCTATTTCGCTTAAGTGTGTAGGTGATTGTGAAGAAATATATGCTCACAAGCTGGTCGACGAAATGCTGCACAGAATGATTTGGACTAAATATCTTTAATTTCGGATCCAGGTTGGTTTTTAATTGCATAATGGAGGACCCAATTAGCATAAGCAGATCTCATAGCAGTTCTCGGTCGATTAAATTGCATGGTTTATGTTTACTTTAAGTTTGCCTTACATTGGCATTGAATAGTACGAGGAACCTTATACCTCGAGCTAAGATTTTGATAGCCAGCAAAAGTGGAGTGATGCGGTTTTATGACATGACAAAGCTTTCTCAAAATTAACAAAAATGAAGCACGTGCTAAAGCATGTGGACTTAGTTGATGGTAAGCTAGTCAATGTTAATGACCGCGCGAGAGTTTATGACGAGAGCTTGGAACAAAAGATGTCTACTTTTAAATTGCTGGCTAGGACCTTTATTGGGTGTCCGTCAATGCAATAAATGATGAAGAAGAATGTGATGGAAGCATTAGCTGATGCACAATGCGACCAGCCCGTGTATTTCAGTAAAGCTAGCAAGAGGGAATCAATTACCATTGATTCCCTCACAAAAGTGTCAAACTTCTTGAATGTGTCTGCTCAACAAAGGAAGCTTGTGAGGCACTCGATATGTGCACAGGTCACAAAGTACCCGATATGGACAAGGGCACTTGAAGAGATATTAAATGGGCTGAAATCTGAGAGAGATTTTCTATATCGCAACTGCCCAAGTAAAGAAATTAAAATGGCGCAGCAAATAGTTACAACTAGTCAAAAGTTTTTAGAAAGTGCTACTTCCTATGACCCTGAATCCACTTCATGGATGCGCCTCTCACCTGCCAAAGGCGCGGAGTCACCCACTTCTCACAAGTGGGAAGATGTTCTTGAAATGTTTCTCGACCTTATTAATTGTTTGAGTGAAGAGACAAAATTAACTTCGGAGGTCAAGAAGCTTGAGGTTATGAAAGAAGGGCTTTATCAGATTAGGGATGTTCTCATAGACAAAAGCATTGGATGTTCTCAGGGCTTTATCAGCTTGTATACATTTTTTGTATTACATCACCTTGTTTGCTACCTCATTCATGAATTTCCTTTCTGTCTTGCATTTAATGTTGCTGGTCACGCTTAAAAATATGGAAGGAAATTTTTGCATGAGATTCTTGAAAAGAAATAACCTTATTTATTTGGGTTTTCAATTTGTATGTGGTTGACTAGTTTTGATAAGTATATGATTAATGACTAGAGGTTGATAAGTTAGGACTTACTTGGTACAATTACGTAAGATTCCCAAAATTAAACTCTTGCAAAAATATTTTAATTTTAATTTTTCAAAAAAGGGGAAGTAACATATTTGGGCACTATGTCAAAACTATTTACAGCTCCTAGCCAATACTAGTATACATTAAACAATAAAACAGTACTCCTATGTTGCAGTAAGTACATTGTAAAGACAGTTCAGGATCACCTGTAGTTCATTTCTGAGCTGATGAAAATAACCAGAAGAAAAAATGCTTAAGATGATATCCCTCAGTAAAATTGGTATATGCCACTGAATACAGAGCGCACACGGTATTCTTTAGTAAAAGGCGAAAGAATAGTTCGCTGTGTGCTCACTGCGTGGCTGCGTCAGCTTTACAGTAGCCAGTGCATCCCTCTTTATATTGTAACAAAGTCTGGATTTACTCTTTCTTTTCGATGTGGTACGCCCATCACTCTTTTTTCACCTTAAGGCTTCAAATTTTATTTCTGTCTTCTTCTAGTTCTTCACCTTCTTCACCTGTCCTGCAGTTAATTACTATATGGTTGAAAATTTACATGTTTTAAAATAAAAACAACTTATGTGGTTATGTATGTTTTGAAATCTAAAATTCCATCCGTTCCAATTTATGTGAACCTGTTTGACTGGCACAAAGTTTAAGAAAAAATGAAAACTTTTGGAATTTGTGGTCCTAAACAAGTTAAAATGGGGCCCAGAGTGTTTGTATGGTTATAAAAGCTTGTAGAATTGTAAACTTAAGCTAAATTATTTTCAAATTTAGAAATGGGTCGTTCTTTTTAGAACGGACCAAAAAGGAAATAGGGTTCACATGAACTGGTACAGAGGGAGTATTCGATTTCGCTTCAGCTTGTCGGTGATTGCGAAAAGGTATATGCTAACCAGCTGATCGACGAAATGCGGCACAGAATGGTTTGGACTATATATCTTGAATTTCTGATCCAGGTTGGTGTTTAATTGCATAATGGAGGACCCAATTAGCATAAGCAGATCATATAGCAGTTGTCGGTCGATTAAATTGCATGGTTTATATTTACTTTAAGTTTGCCTTACAATGGCATTCAGTAGTACGAGGAACCTTATACCTCGAGCTAAGGTTTTGATAGCCAGCAAAAGTGGAGTCATGCGGTTTTATCATTGTCCAGAAGAAGACCAGGAGGAGCCTTTGCTTTCTCAAAATTAACAAAAATGAGCCACGTGCTAAAGCATGTGGCTTAGTTGATGGTAAGCTAGTCAATGTTAGTGACCGCGCGCGAGAGTTTATGATGAGAGCTTGGAACAAAAGATGTCTACTTTTAAATCACTGGCTAGGACATTTATTGGGTGTCCGTCAGTGCAAGAAATGATGAAGAAGAATGTGCTGGAAGCATTAGCTGATTCACAATATGACCAGCCTGTGTATTTCAGTAAAGCTAGCGAGAGGGAATCGACTACAATTGATTCCCTGACAAAAGTGTCAAACTTCTTGAATGTGTCTGCTCAACAAAAGAAGCTTGTCAGGCAATCGTATGTGCACAGGTCACAAAGTACCCGATATGGACAAGGGCACTTGAAGAGATATTGAATGGGCTGAAAACTGAGATGGATTTTCTAAATCGCAACTGCCCAAGTAAAGAAATTAAAATGGCGCAGCAAATAGTTACAACTTGTCAAAAGCTTTTAGAAAGTGCCACTTCTTATGACCCTGAATCCACTTCATGGATGCACCTTGCACCCGCAAAAGGTGCAGAGTCACCCACTTCTCACAAGTGGGAAGATGTTCTTGAAATGTTTCTCGACCTTACTAATTGTTTGAGTGAAGAGACAAAATTAACTTCGGAGGTCAAGAAGCTTGAGGTTATGAAAGAAGGGCTTTATCAGATTAGGGATGTTCTCATAGACAAAAGCACTCGATATAAGAAACTCGCCACCAGGAGAGTTTAGTGCACAAGAAGTTGACTAAGACATTGGGCCACTCATCACGATGTGTCTTCACACTTCTTCTTTATTATCTTTATGGTAGCATCTGGGATATTGAAGTTGAAGTTTGTGGAGGACTTTATGCCATTGGTCACGGGGATAAATTCCGTCTATGCATGGGAAAGATTTTAACATCCACTGAGCAGAATATACTGCAGAGGGGGGTAAAACAGCTAAGCAGAGTTCTGGGGCTTTTCAAGTTTGTATGGGAAATTGCAGGAATGAAAGGCGACCTAGAAGTACAAGGCCATTTGTGGTGCATTGGTGCGGAGAATAAGTCATTTACCTATAGAAACAATCTGTTCTTCTTGCATTCTATTAGTTACTGATGCTAGACGTTTCTCTGACAATGAGAAGTAGAAAGGTTCCACCAGAGGATGATGTATTCATCAATGAATGTGTATCCTAGATTAGCATGTGATCAACTATTTGCGGTCATATCATTTTCAGTATTTTAGTTATGATGGGGGAACTTTATGTCTGAGTTACAAGACGATCATCACTTCATTAGTTTGTCACAAATGGTGATACCATATTTCATAAATTGGTTTTGCTATTTAAAGTGTAACCAATTGTAGTGGACTTGCCTTAGTTTATGATGTTATAGGACAGTTAAATGTTAGATATTCCTCCTTTTTCTCTTCAACTTCCGCAGGTTGGATCAATCCTGTCATGAAAAAGGTCATTACGAGAAAATGATTATAAGAAAAGACTTGCTGCCATATTCCACCAAGTTTTAGTAACTTTATGATGCTGCTCAATGCTGAGCTCCTTCAACTTAACTGGTGATCTTTTACTTCCTGCCTCTTACGAGGACTCACTTATCTCCCCATTTATATATTTGAGGTTTGGGAAATTATGATGAATCTCAGGTTGCTCCACAAGCTCGAAAAGATGATGCGATGGGGCTTGTTAATATGATGTACACAGTAAATAAAGGTTCAACGCTATAGTATAACTTGGGCCAAGTTAATTGCCTCTAGGGACGGATCCGCAATTTAAATTCTATTGGTTCAATCTTTTAAGATTTTAGTATTGAACTATTATATTTTTAAAGTTATGGATTCGTATCTACTATTTGTTGCAATTTTAGTGAATTCTATACACATTGTTTCGCATTAAAAGTGATGGGTTCAAAATAACCCCGTACTCAAACACTACATCAGCCCCTGATTGCCTCTACCAGGTTGGGAAATCATGGTAGGATGTGATTGAGATGGATGTCATAGTGTCTTATCTGTGTCAAAATAACCCCGTTCAAATCAATGCTGGTTTTCACCGTCCAACAGTCAACGAAACCATTTATTTGACGCGATACCCCACTATTGATATCAAAATTCTTGAAGAACGGCATTCTGCTATGTGGAAACTCAGCCGAAAGTATAAACAGAACTAGATCGGCTTTTATATTTGGTCAGAAAACATGAGATTCTCACAAGGACAACCCAATGGTTAATTTCCTATACTAGGCGAAGCATGTACCAATGTCTCATACAACTAGTGTCAGTTGTACGAGACACAAAATAAAATTTTTCGAAAACATGAGATTCTCACAAGGACAACCCAATGGTTAATTTCCTATACTAGGAAAACAGTGGAGCTGCACTCCACCATCTGAATACTTGGCCACTTATTATTACCTCTTTCTGAGTTATACTATTAATGAAAAGTCTCCAAAAATGGTTTTATTTTAAGATTGTAGCTAGTTACAAGGAAATAAATTCTGATGTAAAAAGTCACAATTTTAGACAAGACAAAGAAGAAAATTGATTCCTATATACCACGCAAGAGAGCAGATCGATTGAGGTAATACATTTGCTTATTTTTGTTCAGAAAATTAAAACATAATCACAGCTTCCTCGGTGACGCCTATTTTATATTTATATACAAAAACGGTTGGGGGTGCGGCCCTACCCTCTCTTTCCAGCGGAATTCACCTCTTCCTTTCGCTCAACAAAACTTTCTAAGCCTTAGAAATTTTTTGGCAATCCCCATTCCTTCTTCGTTCCAAGGTTCAGTTTAGTTTGTTGTAATAGATGCTCCCAAGCTGATCGATGAAATGCCACATAAGAATGTTTTGGAACTAAGTGCCCAATGCAAAAAAGTTTATCGCTTGACTCTGGGCCATGCAAAATAATAGAAGCAGTAGCTTGAGAATAAATAACTTGGTTGAAGAATTGGGTAGGGGCCGCGCGAACGCAGGCCCCCGCTACCACAAATTATGACGTAGGTTCGACCACTTGGGCCGACCTTAGGCGGGCACCCCTCCAAAGTGCAATGGAGGTCACCAACCTAGGACATGGGTCTTATTGATCGCCCATTGACCCCATCCAGGTAAGTATGTTTCATTGTAGCTCCTTGCAATGATTTTATACCCTTCCTGATCCTCAGTTTTCTTTGTTTCAGCCGATGAGGGACATTTTGAATTTATTTTCCCCTGTTTGGTAAGTACAGTAAGAGTGAGTCATCCACTTTCTGCTTGTTTTTCATTTATATAGCACGCCTGGTAGATATAAACAGATTGTACGACATCCAGTTTCCAGAAGAAAGAAGTTTAGTTTAATAAGTGATGTTCATTTCCGTTCTGAAAACTTACGCAGAGCCCCAAATCATTCCACTTATTTCTTCAACTAGTAAACCTATCAAACATCTCACTAAAGGTTAAAACTAGAATTGTAGGGGGAACTCAAAGAAGAGAGCCCCTCCAAAAATAGGCGTATGCCACTGAGTGCAGCGCGCACACGGTATTCTTTAGTAAAAGGCGAAAGAATAGTTCGCTCTGCGCTCACTGCGTGGCTGCGTGAACTTTGCTGCTCTTCACAGCTGCCATTTTATATGTAACAGCAAGTTCTGGCATACTCTTCCACTTTCGATGTGGGACTCAACTCACTCCTTTCCCTCCGTCGGGTTTTATTGAAATTTGAGGCATCAAAATTTCAGTTGCTTCACCATTCCTTCACTTATGTTATGTGACAATCTTCATGTTTCAAATAGAAGCGACTTTTGCATTTCCTTCATCATTTGATTCATTTAAGCTCTGATTCGCTTTAGTTTTTGGTGATTCTGAAGAAATACATGCTAACAATCTTATCGACTAAATGTCCACAGGATGGTGTTGTACTTTATATATTGAATTTCCAGTGCAGGTTTAGTTTTTAAGCTTATAATAAGGACCAATTGGCAGAATAAGTAAACAAAGCAGCTGGTTTTGAGTTGGCATTAGTACGGCATTGAGAAGTGTAAGGAACAATATATACCTGGAGCTAAGATTCCGCAAGCCAATAAAAATGAGTTGATGCTGCAGGGTTTGGTGATGAACTCAAGTTCACAATTTTTTGTTTTGTTATAAGATGGACAAAGTTGTTATAAGCTATGGGCTTGTTGGAAGTGTTCTGTTCTGACTACTTTTGGTATGAAAACCAGTTATCCACCATCCATATGTTGCATTTCGCCTCTGCATTATCATATTGTTAACCATAACTTGCTTTCTTCTTCTTAGGGTACTGGGCATTTGGATAATTATGGTGATTCCTGGACGTCGTTAATTTGCTTTCTGCATTCTTGGCGCAGCACAGATAACAATATATTGCTGCAAACTTTGTGCTCCAATGCAAAGATCTTAGTAAAAAGAATTGTCTACTGCCACCAATCTAAGCAGTTTGGTATAGCTAGGGAAGTAACGATCCTATCATTTGCTTCAAAGTCAAAATGTGGGCGATTTTAGTAAAAAGAATCTATCTTGTGCGGCTTAGAAATGTGTGTTAGCAAAATTAGCTTTTTCCAAGTTCTGATATTAAAACAATGGAGTAGAAAAACTTTCCCATATTCCTATTGGAGTCTTTCCTTTAATTTACTATCTTTATGGAGGCGTTGCTAATCAATCCATCCACAGGTCAAACTGGAATTTTTGGTGCTTCTTCTTTGAAGGTATTTGCACTAGCTAATCATTCTGACCAGTGATGTTAGGCTAGAAACTCGTGTTTTAGCCGTAGTTTACACACTAATTACTGCATTATACGTGTGTTTGAGCTTAAATGATGGTGATCTGCACATATTACGTGTTTATGCCTTGCAGGAAATGATTCCGAGTTAAAAGGATAAATTAGAGCTAAATCGATAATTGAAGCTTTGAAGTATGAGTAAAATCCATAGAATTAAACAGGGATCGCATCCGGGGCTCTTGGACAGGCGTTGCATACGAAAGTGGGAAGAAAGTGCAAGGGCCAGAACAAATGGACTAAGGCGACGCACAAACGCATTAGTGCAAATATGCGTCAAAAGTTTGACAAGTTCATAGACCGGGTATTTTTGGTCCGACAAGAAAATGCACTACTGCGACGCGACCTTCAACGCATGGTGCGGCGCGCTAAGGCAAAATTCTGTCAAACACACGGTGTTCAGAGAGTTTGCAACTGAGTAAACAACACTGATGCGACGCGTGAAGTGCAAAAAGTTTGTTGGGTTTCCACTTTGGCTCAAAGAGGGTAGTTTCATCCGGGTTCATTCCTACTTAGTATAAATACATTGGAAACACGTTTTCTGAAGGACTTTTGACCTACGATAGATTGGAGAACCAACCAAGGCAAGAAGACTCAAGAATTCATCAAGATTTCAACCAACGATCGGTGCAATACGGGAGTTTGTATCGAATCATTGTCGTTGATTTCTTCTTTGTGTTTAAACCTTATTGAGATGATTTTCTTATAGCTATGGAGTAAATCCCATTAGGGTGTTGACAGATACGGTGTTTTGATAACTTGATTAGGGATTCGATTCTTGATAATTGTTGAAATTAATTGATGGAGTTTTAATTTGTATTGTGGTGTTATTTATTATTTTGCTTAATCGAAAGAGGAGTTTGGTATTGAATTTCTTTACATCTTATGCTCTAGTTTAAATTCGTGATTCAAACAGGTAATCGAAAGAGCCTCTTAAATTATTAATCGAACTAGAAAACAGGGCCAAACTTTTGTTGAAGAATTGGATAGGGGCCGCGCGAACGCAGGCCCCCGCTGTCACAAATTATGACGTAGGCTCGACCACTTGGGCCGACCTTAGGCTGGCACCCCTCCAAAGTGCAATGGAGGTCACCAACCTAGGCCATGGGCCTTATTGATCGCCCATTGACCCCGTCCAGGTAAGTATGTTTCATGGTTGCTCCTTGCAATGATTTTATACCCCTCCTGATCCTCAGTTTTCTTTGTGTCAGCCGATGAGGGACATTTTGCGTTTATGGAGAACAAACACTCGAAATGCTCAATACTAGGTGTGGCATTTATGGAGCTGATATTAACAAAGTAAGCAAATCTATAGGGAAAGTCTTTCAAAATACATTATTTATCAGTATACTTTAACAGTTGTAACAGGGTTATTATATACGTTATAAAAACTAAACTGCAAAAAAAATTATGAATTTTCATTAAAAAAAAGAAAAGAAAAGAGTACTCGCGTGTTGCAGCCTTAGTACACGTAAAGACGGTAGTAGTAATGAACATTAGTTTTCTTAACTAGAATCTTCATTTAATTTTTCTCCATGATCTTCTTATATATTACCTAGAGCTAATTAAACATAAAAAACTTAAAATTGAATTGTAGGGGGAACTCAAAGAAGAGAACCCCTCCAAAAATAAGCGTATGCCACTAAATGCAGCACGCACACGGTATTCTTTAGTAAAAGGCGAAAGAATAGTTCGCTTTGAGCTCACTGCGTGGCTGCGTGAGTTTCAATACTCCTTGTAGCTGCCTTTTTATATGTAGCAGCAAGTTTTGACTAACGTTTTCACTTTCGATGTGGGACTCATTCTTCCTCCATCAGGTTTTATCGAACTGTGGGACATCAAAGTATACTTCTTCTTCTTATAGAATCGACTTTAATTTAATTACTGTTCAGTATCCTTCCATGTTTGATTCATATAAGCTCTGTGCTCTGATTCTCTTCAATTTCAGGGCGTTAGAGTGGTATGACTAAAGGAAGGATAATCTCTTATTTAAAAGCTATTCTGCTTCTATAAATGCATAGGAGCTGTCATAATTTTCTGCAAGTCCTCTCAATTGGGAATGGGATAAGCAGTCTTTAGATCCTAGTGTTACTACTACAATGAAAAATGTCATCTTGTAGTACAAACTCAGTTCTGTTCTTTTAAGTCCTCTATTGCCAGTATGGTAACCAGTTTGGTGTAGCTATGGAGAAGTGAGCGTCTTATCATTGGGTTCAAAAGTCAAAAGATGGGCTGTTTTAGTAAAAAGAATCTATATTGAACCACTAACAAATTTGTTTTAACTACACTTGCTTTTCCAAGTTCTGATTAAGACAAAGTAGCAGAAAACCTTGAGTCCGGAACCAAAGTATGGTATTTTTGGACTCAAAGTACAAAAATAGGTGAAAAATCAACATGTGATCATTTTATGTATACCCATGCGCTATACCTTAACGACACGTTTGTCCGTTAAGGTAAAATGCATGCAACCAATGCGTTATGCCTGATTTTTAAATGTGGGTCAAAGTATAGCTATAGCGAATATACGGGATGCGCTACGTCTGAAGTTGAAAAGACAGAGTCTTCTTCCTCGCGGACAAAAACAAAAATAGGGTCCCCCCTCCCCCTTTTTAAAGCTTAAACCTCCATTGGAGCCCACCTGTCCCACCAAAAATTGTGTCCCCTCATTATTTTAGTGAGCTAACACCCGATACAAGGGGTTGACATGAAGTGGATATCTTCTATTGCTCGTTTCGGTGGTCAAATCATCATTTTTTCTCAATTCAAAAAACTCTAAAATAAGGTATTCCGACTCACTTTTGTAGTAAAACTCAAAAGTGACGGGATGTAGTTCCTTGGCTCAATGCAGAGATCTTACGTTTTGTTGGGAACCTTAGGAGTAAAGTTATTGGTTGAATTCGCATAGTTTAACACAAAGTGGGCCGGTTCAACCGGTCCCAAACGGGCACAACGGCTACATTTTAAAAAAAAAAATTCCACGAAAAATCTGACCGTTGGGTCATTTAAAATATGGCCGTTTGGCCTGCAAATATAGTCGTTTGGGCTTTGTAAAATAGCCATTTAACCCCCCCCCCCCCCCCTTTATTTTAACCCCAAACTTTTTATAATTATATTTTTCTCTTTTTTCAACTGTAAATACCCCCTCATTCTTTTATTTTTTTCACAAAACCGTCAATCTCTCTCATTTCTCAAACTCAAATTGAAGTATTCAAGTCTTCACTCTTCTCTCATTTCTCAAACTCAAATTCTTAATTCAAGTTAAATCATGCCCGGTGATTCTAGAGTGCGCCCATTTGTTTTGGAATACTTTAATATGGTAGAAGAAAATGAGGAAGTTTACATAATAAAGTGCAAGAACTGTGGTCGGTCTACACTCATCGTCCAAAGTTGGAGGGCACAGGCTGTTTAAGGAGGCATATAAAGAGTTGTCTTGCGCGTTCTCCAGACATTCGTATATATATATATATATTAAGCTATATAATTTACAAGAAATTACCTTAGATAAAAAAAATAGGCCAGACCCACTTAGGCCCGTTTAGGCCCGGGTCCGGCCCACTTAGCCCGGGACCATTAGTTTGTGGTCCCGGTCTGGTTAACTCCAAAAGCCTACGAAGCCCGGGACCGTTTAAGCTCGGGCCCAGATAGGACCGGCCCACTTAGGACCGGCCCACGAGGCCCGTTTAGGCCCGGGCTCGGCCTGTTTGCCCGCCTTAACACAAAGGGTGTGTTCGGTATGAAGGAAAACATTTTACGGAAAATATTTTTCAATTTTTCCATGTTTGGTTGGCTAAAATGTTTTGGAAAACATTTTCCTCCAATTGGAGGAAAGTACTTTCCTTATCAAGAGAAGGAAAAACATTTTCCAAAACTCTTTTTCCACCTTCCCAACCCTATTCCCATCACCACCAACCCCCACACCCAACCTACGCACCCCACCCCCATCCCACCCTATCCACCCTCACCCCCACCCCAATCCCCACCCCACCCCCACCCTCGCCATCCACCCCCATCCTTTATAAAAATATTATTAATAGTACTTTCTTTTCATGTTATAGATAGTTTTTTTTTTCATTTCAACAAATGAGTATTTTCTTTTCATGATATAAAAAAGTATTTTCTTTCATTTCGATAAAATGAGTATTTTCTTTTTATGATGTAAAATAAGTATTTTCATTTATTTCAATAAAATGATTACTTTATTTTCATGTTGTAGAAAGAGTACTTTTTTTTGTCAACCAAAAAGAGTATTTCTTTATAGTTATAGATATTTCAACGTTGTTTTGCGTAAAAATTAAAGCAGCACAGTAGTTCCTTTCCTAAAATTTATTTCTACTCTCTAACCAAACAATAGAAAATATTTTTCGGAAAAAAGTTTTCCACTCACCAACCAAACAAGGGAAAATAAATGATAAAACCACTCATTTCCATGAAAACATTTTCTAGGAAAATATTTTCCTTCGTACCAAACACACCCAAAGAACCTACATATGTTCAGGGGTCATTTCCTCCTAATCATTCCGGCGGAGCTGGAGTTCTAGTTACGGTTTGTCAGAACCAGTAGCTTCAGCCAAAACTTTGCATTTGTGTTAAGAAATCCACTTAATATGTATAGATAATTATCCTGAATCCATTAAGATACCTTTTCTAGAATCCAAAACTCATAAATTTGAATTCTAGATCCGCCTACTTGAATATGCAACCTCATTGAAATATAGCTATGGCATGTGGAAAGAGTGCTTGGAAGAGACTGTAAATGTGATCGACAATAGTTTTTAATCATTGAGTTTATAGCTGTTGATCTCCGATACATAAAAGTTACTCTCTAACTGCTTCTTGTTTTCTTGATAATTACAAAAATCGTGTACTAGCCTTCATAGTCAACCTAATATTTGGTGTGTAATGTATCTTATTGACATCATAGTTTTTGATGAAAGGCATTTTGTCTAAAGTGGACATCATAGTTCTTAATGAAAGGCATTTTGTCTAAAGTGGAATTTCGCCATCCCTATGAGCAAGACGAAAATAATGGGAAGGAAAAGGCTAAAAGTAATTAGAATAAATTTTCAGCAATAGACCAAGTAATTCCATCCTCAAAGGCAAACAACTGGTACAGCAAATAGTGTTATATATATCATTATGTAAAATCTGAATTACCAAGGAGTTCAACAGAACACTCTCATTTATTTACAGGTACAAATATATTACAAACATTTGCATAGATTAGTAACTAGGAACTCAACGAATCACAACTTTGTTGAAGAATTGGGTAGGAGCCGCGCGAACGCTGGCCCCCGCTACCACAAATTATGACATAGGCTCGGCCACTTGGGCCGACCTTAGGCGGGCACCCCTCCAAAGTGCAATGGAGGTCACCAACCTAGGCCATAGGTTTTATTGATCACCCATTGACCCCGTCCAGGTAAGTATGTTTCCTTGAAGCTCCTCCCTATGGTTTTATATCCATCCAGCTCTTGGTTTTCCTTTGTGTCAGCCGATATGGGACAAATTGTGCCTAATATCTTCTCTTTGAAATAAATTTGTTGTTATTAGATGATTTCAAATTTCTGATTCTTGTCCATGAAATTCTGTATAAACGTGTAATTAATGAAACTCCTTTCTTTCCTTCAATTTCAGAAAACACGTAGATAAATAACAAAGAGAACAAATACGTAGAATTAGTTAACTGAAAGGAGAATACTCGAAATGCTCAATACTAGATGGCATTTACAGAGCTGATATTAACAAAGTAAACAAAATCTGGAGGGAAACAGTTTATCAAAATACA